CTGTTGGTGCAGTAGTCAGTAATTTCTGAGGGGCAATTTTTGAAACATGAGCAATACATGTACAAATCCCAAGTTTGGTTGATTACACTGATTACGCCATTAAAAATGGGGTTGTGACATCCAATCTTGGACCCCGAGGAACCTCCGCCTTCTTTTCTCTCAGCCGTTTCTTGGCCTGCCGAAATAACATGGCATCGAAACGCACCTGAAAAATCGTCATTTGCAGCCATTTGCAGCCAGTCTAAACATGCCCATACTCACACTTCATCAGCCCGGTTTACCAAATGAGTATGCGTCGGTCATTGATTCCCCGTGTAATATTCCAATATACGTTTTTGCCGGACATTGCCAGTAGTTGCCAGTAGCATGGGTACCAGAAGTTGCAACCCCACACATGTAACATCCTCAAAGTACTGGGCGAACCAAATCAATCAGTATATCCCCAGTTGTTATTGCTGATGGTTTGATGGTTCGTTGATGGTTATTGTAGATGTATATCCCCAATTCAATACATGTGGAACCAAAGCTTATAACTTATATCCCAAGATTAACCAGTGTAAATCTTCAGATTTCATCATGGCAAAACACTTTAAACCCAAACCAAATCGAAGAAACAAAGAACAACAACAAACCATCAACAATAACCATCAATAACCATCAACGTAATAAAGACAGGGAAAGACACCAGCAACTAAACTTTAGAGGTTTCTGTTTATCCAACAAATCTCAGTCAACATCCTCAATGTGGGTAAAACGATGTCATAAACCACCCATTGGGAATGGTTTCTAGAACCTATAAAAATGGTGACGACTAGGGTTGTGACACGGCTTACAGGCAACTTCTATAAAACGATAGAAAAATAAATTGAACTAAAAAAAGCGAAAACCAATCCAAAAAAAAAGCAAAACCCAATCCAAACCTCAATTAGAAAAAAACAAAAAAAATGCAAAAAAAAAGCAAACTCCAATCCAAACCTCAATTAGAAAAAAGCAAAAAAAAAAAGCAAAGAAAAAGCAAAAAAAAAGCAAAACCAAAAGCAAAAAAAAAGCAAAAAAAAAGCAAACTATTTGCGTTCACTGTTTTTCGCTTTTTTTTTCGCTTTTTTTTTCGCTTTTTTGTTCGCTTTTTTTTTCGCTTTTTTTTCGCTTGTTTTTCGCTTTTTTTTCGCTTTTTTTTCGCGTTGTTTTCGCTTTTTTTCCGCTTTTTTTTCGCTTTTTTTTCGCTTTTTTCCACGAGTTTCTTACATTTTCGAAGGTCCCGGTCATCAGGTCACCTGAGAAAGAAAAAAACGAAAAAAAATGCGAAAACAAAGGCGGAAAAAAAAGCAAAAACAAAGCAAAAACAAAAAAAAAAAAGCAAAAACAAAGCAAAAAAAAGGAAAAAAAAGTGAAAACAAATAGTTTGCTTTTTTTTTGCTTTTTTCTAATTGAGGTTTGGATTGGAGTTTGCTTTTTTTTGCATTTTTTTTGCTTTTTTCTAATTGAGGTTTGGATTGGGTTTTGCTTTTTTTTGGATTAGTTTTCGCTTTTTTTATGTGTTTAAAATTCTTTAGAAGTAGGCTGAAGGCATTTCACAAGACTAGGGGATGGTTTTACCCACATTCAAAATAGGTGGTATAACCATTCCATACCATGCCCAATATCCCCCTATCAATATAAATAGGGTAAAACATCCCTATCAAGATATGACAAACATCGGAACAAATCGCCGCCTCTTCTTCCGCCAGCTCTTTGGCCTCTCGCGCCTTTGCCTCAGCCTTCTCAGCAGCCTGATTTTGGCCATTGGAATGGCCTTGTTCTCTATTTGATTGGAAAAAATGGATATATATGCGAATCATAGAAATGGATAGCACCTGGAATGGAATGTTAGATTATGTAAGATTTGTGGAATGATCATGATATGGATTGGTTTGTCATGGAAACTCTACTGGAAATCATGGCCTGTGCTCGCAAATGAAGGGAGTTTCTTTTACATTCTCGGCAAAACCAAGCCGGCCGAAACAGTGAACATCCAGCAATAACAGTATGAATTATGCATCAAAGATAAGGAATTTGAAGGGTGTTGATCATATTTTGATATATGCATATATATATATATAATTTGTATATATATATATGAATATCTTACAAAATATTATGCTATAAATGCACATGTTTTTGGCCACGCATCTTACGGATCCCTTCCTGAGACCTCCGCATGCCTGGTACTCTGCAGCTCTGGCATCAACAGTATCATGTGCCTGGAACGGGGCGTTGTGACCCTCCAGGTTTTTGTTGAATTTGGAGCGATGCAATATGCGTTATGAATGCTATACATATATAATTATACATAATTATAGTTACTTATATTTAATATTACTTAATTATATTTATGAATGCTTTGTACAATATACACAATTTATATAATATATTAATTTTGGCGACAACCTTAGAGCATGTCGTGTGCCTGGTGTAATCTTTGCAAAGAGCCACTAAATTCCGTGGGTATCCAGTCACCATCTGGACCTATCTGGACCCACACAGGTGCCGCCCCCCGGCCGTTGGAATTTTCACTTGCATCTCTCTCAACTTTTTCGCGGAGTTTTTCAGGTTTTCACCTGCAGCTGGATAGGCGGGATAGGTGGCGGGTCACATGGCCAGGACACCTTCAGAACGCATCGAATTGTGGTTAAATTTTAGTGATGGGATGGACAGGCGCCCCGGTGCCGCCAAAAAATCACCGGAAATGAGGTATAATAGGCATACCATTCACATTTTTTTAACTGTTTGGGAACAATCTTTGTAACTATATTTATCATTCTTCATCTCCTTTTTTATAGTTGCAGATACCCTCTGGTAATTTAACATAGCTATTGAACATGGCCATTTATAGTGGATTTACCCATTAACAATGGTGAGTTTGCATAGTTATGTTAGTTTACCAGAGGGTAGTTGCAGTGAATATAAATCCACCGTTTCCTGTAGATCCACCGCGGAGTTCACCACTTCCGAGGTCTCGACTGGCAGCTTTGTAGACTGCGTCTGCGGACTTCAGCCTGGAATTTGCTGCCTGCAGACCGGATGAGTTGAGATATGTTGGGCAAATCGGGTCATTTTTTTATAGTTCCAAAATAGGTCTTATATGGGTCATATATGGTCATGTTGAAAATTTGTCGGATATTATGTTGAGTGTTGCACTTCTGTTATTGTTTCTGATGTCAATTGGCCCCAATGGTTCCCAATGTTCATCCCAACAAGTCCTTTGCTTGGTGGGATCTGTCATGCCAGGGAAGCAGAAGTCACAAAAATAGGCGGAACCACCACTCATTTTGGTGGGGTCAACCACCCCCCACGATATCAATGATGTCATATATGTCATATGTAAATATATGCAATATGTATATCCTTCGTGTACCTAGCCATAGATCCATCTATCATCATCTAGCTATCTGTCGACCCATCTCCATTGCTGTTGGCCAAATTTCATCCGGCGAGATCGTAAACCATCCCCATTTTGGGGTGCCTATAATTTGGAGCCATATCTTGATGGTTACCAACTGACAATATTTTCCCTCTAAACATCATCAAAAGCTGGGGAGTTTGCAGATCATGAAACATTCGCTTTTCCATGATGTTCCTCTTGAAAATCATCAAGAATCTATAAGAATCTGAGGTTTTGGGGTATTTCCCATGTATTTCCCATGTGTTTCCACCAGCTGACCGTGGCGGACCTCAGCCTCCTTCTTGGCCGCGTCCCTGGTCTTCTCGGCGGACTGCGCCCGTTCGGCCGCTTGCAGGGCCTGGATGTCTGGATTTGTCGAGTTTTGGGGTGAAAAATCATCAAAAATTGGCAAAAATCATCAAAAATCATCAAAGAATATCAACGATATCATCAAAGATCATCAAAGATCTTGACACTAGTTCTGTACACATCTTTCCTGTAACAATCTCTTCTATCTTCGTTGAGTTCCTTTGTTGAAGACATTTCGAGATATCATCAAGCACTGTATATAGAGGTAAGCGTCATGTTTCATTCCATATGTGGAATATTACTCTTTGAATATTTAAGTATTTGTCCTCAGCAACCTCTTGGTGATGTCTGATGCTTGTATCTGATATTCGTGCACTTAGACGTCTTTTTTCCCGGGGGCCCAACATTCGCTGCAAGATGCTGCAAGTATCTCTAACAATTTCTGGTTGATAGCTGAGTTATAAACAAATGATCTGAGCCAACCCACTTGCAGCGGGGTTGAGATGTGCAACAGAGCGCCTTATTGGCCCTATTTCCTCTTGATCTTGGAAGTTTGGAACTTTGGAACTGCAATCTGCAGTGATCCCCATTTCCAGCATATTTCAAAACAACAAATGTTGGCGCCTCATCCTCTGATACGAGTACTAGCAGCTACTAGCAGCTGTGGTCAAGTTCAAGGGTACTGTAACATCGATGCCCACAACACAAATTGCCTCCTTCCTCATTTCATCCGTCTCCTTGTTCAACTTCATCAATTCCGCCTGAGCACGGAGAACCAATTGAACCAACCGTTGTGTGGCATTACACGGGCATCACATCCATTGCGTCTGCATCTGCAAGTGGCGGTGCATGGTGAAATTGAATGAAATTGAAGGCATCTCTGAAGTGTCAATTGATCCAAAGTCTTGCCCAAAACCACATCGGGGTTACCCTGACTGATTCCAAAGTATTCCAATCATTTTTTCATATTTTTTCATATTATATATATATATATATTCATATTGATTTCATATTTCAATATGAGTGCCCAAACTCCCAAGCGAAGCAACCAGCCAATCTTCGCGTACGCTTTTCTCGAAGCTCGCTTGGCGAGTCGCGAGCCGGTCGCATGGTGACTTAAGTGCCATGGAACAACTCGGAACAACTCGGAACAACTCGGAACAACTCAAGATTTCAGGCCATTTTGGACATCCAAAATGGGGAATATCAGCTAAAATCAATTAAAATCAGCTAAAAACCAATGAATTTTATGGAATTTTCCTTGGTGTTTCCCACTGCAACACCAACATCCCACGGCACCACCACAGGACCAGCGAACTACAACTGGGAGGGATTGAAAGACACAATCCTGGGAGACACTGATCCTGGCGATTGTTTTTGCCAAATTTCTCCATCGGTCCAGCAGATCCTGGCGATGTACAACCCATATGGCACCCATGTGGCACCCAAAAATTTGGACCAAAAAAAAAAAGCAGAACTGATGCAGCCCAGCATCATGGCTGCATCGCCGGTGATCGAAAAGAAGACCCGTCCGTAGAAACTGGGCATTTCTATTTGGTGGGATCCGATGGCACTTGGGATTTCACCGGAAGTGGAGGAGTTCACTCGGAATGATGTATCGCCATTGGCCAAAGCTCGCTTGCCAAAGAGATTCTCATAAACATCCCATCTATATACACACATTATATATCACTATAAAAATCTAAAAACTATTGCCACCACACACACACATAAATATATCATAAATTATCATAAATCTGAATATGCAAGACAAAACATCCATGCATAATTTTACATCATTTTACATACATTAATATACCTTATCCAAATCCTTATCCAAATCCTTAAAAACATCTTTAAAAACATCCGGATCTTAGATATCTCAGATATCTCAGGCCAAGCAGCTCATGGTCCCTGATGGTGATTTTCACCAAATCTTGCCCCGAAATCTGCACCTGGCACCTGAGAGGATCTCAGTAGAATACCACCGGCCCCTAAAAAATATAGCCTTGCTTTATTGTTGGATCTGTTCATTTAGGCCCGTATATGATATATGATATATATATATATGTGATATATATATATATATATGTGATATATATATATATGTGATATATGATATATATATATATATGTGATATATATATATATATATGTGATATATATATATATATATGGGGTATTAGGGATATTCACTACGAGGGTTAGGAAATACTAAGAAAGGCCACTGATATAGTGATAATTCTAAATCCTATCCCCCATCACTTGGTGCTCCGGGATTCGTGCATGAACCTATTCTGGGCATTCTGGGTTCGGAAATTTTGAACCACACACCAACTGAACCACAAAATCACACGAGAACAGTTAGTTCATTTAGCGGAGTAACTTCAAAATGTAGTGCACCCGCGCACACTTGGCTGGTTTGTCCAAAAATCTCCAAAATCATCCCCAAGATGTGAATTTTGGACACAGTCTAATCAGTCTATGCATAATTTTAAGGACGTTTCCTAAATCGAACATGTTTCCAACATCTCATTTTCCCCATGAAACACGAATAAATGAACAGTGGCTGCTGTTCACCCCGGTTGATGATTAGGGGGTTCAATTATCTAATGTCTATCTAATATATGGGGTATGACTATCTGATATATATATATATATATGTGGAGTATGATCACAATCCATGATGAAAATCAGCAGAATTCCCATCAAAAATCATCAGAAATCGCCGAGGTACGGCTCCTCTGTGATGAGGACTGCAGTGTCCCAGGTCAGCTGACCCTGAGCGATTTCGCCTGGGAATCTAAGACGTGCATGCGCCAACCCAAGATGTAACAGCTATATACCATATATTAAAAAAGTATATGTTTTATGTATATATATATATATTCAGTTAATGTAGTGTATAATGTGTATATACGTATATAATTGCCAATGACTACTAAACTCCAAGTATAATCATACCATAATCTATGCAGCCAGCAACAGTCATCAGCCATTGAAGATATTTTCATACAAAACGGGGGAACAGAGGAGTGATAGAACTGATATAGAATATAGAGCCAGCATGAGCCATCAGACATCGAAATTAGACATGCAAGGTGCTGCAAGGACATGATAGGACATGACACTAAGCGAACCGAAGACGGACGAAAATTGAGGTTCAAGCAGGAGTGATGTGGGGTGAAAGCAGCAAACATGAGGAATCTTGTGGCCCAACATGACGAAGTTCTCAAGTACGAGCTAATATCATATGCAGGACTCAGTTGCTCGGACCAAACGATAATCCTACAATCACAGAACCCACAGCCTGCCAGACTCATGTGACAGAATCAACATGCTCGAAGTCATTGGTTGTGGTTGCCATATGTTGCCATTGCCAAACTTAGGCGTTTTTACAGAAAGGCTTCAAACACAATTTCAGGGGAACATTTTTTCACCATCGATGATTGAAACCGGGCATTCCGGGCCCAGCGGTTTTCTGTCATCTTTCCGGCTCCAGACACCTTCAAGGCGCCTTGGGCCATTGGGTTGGCGCAGGTCGGGACAGGGGAAAGATGGAAAGGTAAAAACAAAAACTGCTTGGAACTTGGGTTCATTTTTTTGGAAATCCATTGCACGATTACAAAACATACCGAAATTTTGACAATCCACTAGACATTTCTTAGCCAATTGCAGTGGCCCTGTTCAATGTTTGTCCACATTGGCCTCCAAGAGTTCTATCCGTTGACGTCCCAAGTTCCCAGATTTTCTACGGAGAATCCGTCAACTCTTAAGTAAGTGATGCCGAACCGTGGTGATGTCGAACTTCCAATGGTTCGAAGTAGTAAACCCATGCTTTCCCATATTTTTTCCATTCAAATCATTTCAAATCCCTTAAATCAGCAGCCTGAACCCTGCTGAACCCCTCCGGGCGGCTCTTCTAAGCTCGTGAAGTTCTCTGGCACGACCTGCGATCCAGTCAGCAGGCCATGGCCAAAATGAAGGTGAAAACATGTGAAAACGTGTGAAAAAACACCCCGACATATCCCAACGTGATAAATCTGGATGATTTTCCACTTGGCTTGTTATATCTTGTTATTACACTTGATCTGCGATTCGCTGTGAGTTTTCAGTATCTTCAAATCCGTTTGACCAAGGTCAACAGTTTGTGAGGGTCGAGATCCATCAACTCCGATGTCAAAACGTCGCGGTCCTGAGGGTTTGGCCTCCCACAAGCCACCGATCGAACACACACACACACAAACACACGCAAAAATGAAAATAAATATAAATAAGACAATAAGACATAATATAAATAAATACAAATATATAATATACGTATATGTAGCACACACCCACACACGTATATATATATATATCATATACATAGATTAATACAATCAACCTTCACCAAGGTGATCTCTTTGCAGAAGCACCTGACTCTCTGTCGCCCTGGGATTCACTGCATCCGACGCACCCAAGTCCTGCTCGTCCACCTGTGCAGCTGGGATTCCGATCTTTCCCCTTGTTGGAAGGAACATGAAGGAAATAACCAGGACTCGTTCACATTTTGAAGCTCAACCCATATGAATCCATAAAAACATATAAAAACATATAAAAGATATAAAGTACATGTGGTTGAACTTAATAAAATATATGAATCCACATGGGAACATATAAAAACCACTGTACTTTAGTTGGATTCTATTGGATCCATCCCTAAAGACATCCCCGGAGTCGGCACCTTGGCGAGCCAGGCTGATTTCATTGTGACCTGGCAACGGTTTTGGAGACGGCCGCAGCGAACTGGAACTGAAACTTGACATACAGAGAGAGAGAGAGATTTGCACACACACAAATAATCAATAATATATATATATATATGTATGCATATATATATATATAATCTGTATATGTATGTACTGTACACCAATATCTGATGATATCCGTTTTGAAAAATTACCAGTTTGATTTTTACTTCCTTTTTTTGACGGCTCCCAGGTTCACAAGCATTTGTTGATCAAGGAGGCGCTATGTTTGACTTTCGCATCATTTTTATGACGTCTCTTGTGAAAATTGCATGGCATTAAACCAAAAACCAAGCAATCCAAACTAAAATCCCTTTCCAGCCTTTCCAGCCTCCAGGAAGCAAACATTTCAAATGTAAAATCTCCCATTGGGGGCTGATTTTCCCATCGTCAGCTCCATCCAAAGGATGGGGAGTTGCCATCGCACCTCGGGTCCTAGGACCTCATCGCCGGACAAGGATTTCTTGTCGGAGCAGCAGCATTGGGAACCCATTGCGCTGCGGCGCTGCGTAGCTCTCCGGTGGACCACTTTTTTCAGCGATTGTTACAGAAAACTTCAAGTAGCGAGGCTGACATAATCTTGACACGATCTTGACATATCAATGATATTGATATCAAGATATATCAAGATACAGATATCAAGCTTAACCGTCACATGTCTGAGGCTATCTTGATTGTGGCACTGAAGTTCAACAGGGCATCCTAAGCATCCCATGTGGCCAAAACCGAATGCCATGATGCCATCCCCCACGGTGGCTGGAGCCGAAATGAGGCGAGCCCACATCTATATATCAGTGAATATCTAGCATGGTCTATCAGAGTCTATCGCTATGTGCAATCATGTGCAATATTGTGTCTAATCATGTATAGAAATCGCATAAAATCGCCGCATAACTATGCCAAAAAAAGCAGGTTTTGATCCAACTCTTGGCAAATGGCCCTGGCGGCAGGGCTCCACCAGGTCCACCATGGTCCACCCACTGCACCGCACCTTGGCATCTTCAAGGCGGCTTCTTGCTTCTTGAGCCTCGACTCCCGATGGGTGTCCGGAGTTCACCAGCTGGAACCAGTGGAAAAACTGGGTTATGATTTTGATACATCTAATTTAAATTTAGATATATTTAGATATATTTTGAGTATTTTGATACATATCTCAAAGACTTTTTCAGATTCAACTCATTCATTCCAAGTTCTGGTGGAAGGTGTTCTCTAGTGCTGAACTTTGAATCTCACCAAGCCGATGAGCCTGAATGAGCCTGACCTTAGAGCTCAACTATCCAACCATGGATCAAACTAAATCATCATCTCATTGATCTATGTTATGAAAGGGGGTAACAAACTGCTGGTGCTTCACCATAATCTACATAGTTGATGGTTTAATCGCATTGATATTGGTAGACTCAAAAATGACAACCCCCATGTAGACTCAAGTTTGCCATTTGCGGAAACATACCACAAAAACGACAGAAAGTGGGGTTGGGCGTGACAAGCTTAGGGCACACCAATGTATAACACAATCTCATGATAAACTTGTCCACTCATGTCCACTCAACTTGCGATTTTTCTGGCTGGCCTTTTCAAACACTGCCATGATTCTTGGGGTACTTCAACATCTCACAATTCACTATGTATCATTTCTTTTGGGGGTCCTTACAGTTGAGGATCCCCAAGTCACCATGGCTTCCAATACTAAAATTGTCATCCATGACTTGGATGATTTGGGGGTGTACCCCATGCTATGTAGGAACCCCCCATTGGTCCATATATATATATACACATACACACATAATATACATAATTATGTCACATATAATCATAATATATATATATTATTTACAAAACATCTAAAATATAACTTCTCCCAATCTTGGAGTAGATCCTGAAACCATCGGCCGCATCGGCCTGTCCGGCAGCAGCCTCAACGGCCTCCTGTGAAGAACAGCACTTGGCTGCAGGCTGCAGCAATGAACAGACCAAACTTTGCATGATTTTGGATGGTTCTTATGTTTTTTTCCAGGTTTTTAACATGTATTAACTATTTTTTGTGGGATGATTTTAGCAAAACAACCATGCTTACAACCGATAAATGGATAAACCAAGTTTGACATAGTTTGACCCATGCCCACTGCAGCTGCTTGGTGATTTAATGTGATTTAACATGTTTTTTTCCGGATGATTTGCCCAAGGGTTCGCATGTTCAGGTGAGGCCAGGATAGGACAGGTATCTTCGAAATTTCAGAAGCCTCCTATCCAACTGGGACATGTAATGAATGTAATGAACTCCTTGGCTCCCGAAACGGCTCCCTCCATGAAATTCAGAATCGGCTCTCTTCAGAGCTCCCCAGGGCCCCAACTGCGGTCCTCCGCCTTTTTACAGTTTTCATCATCCTGGAGCTCTGCGAAGTCCTCGATGAGTCAAGCCATGCGAGTCTTGGGTAAAAAAAAATGGGCCCAAGAATCAGGTGAACACCTTTCTGAAATCTTGGACAATATCAACCATATCAATCCATATCAACCTTATGCTCCTCCTAAAACATGTTGGACTTCCGATCCCTAATAGTGTTTTCTTGTGGGTCGCTGGGTGCTTTTGCGCCGCAAACCCTCGAAACCTGCGATGAAAAAAGGTTGCTGCAAGGCCAAGGCTAGCGCCGTGTCTAAAAATGTGCTTGAAACAATGTTTTGTGCATATAGAGCGCATAGAATACGCAAAAACATATTCGTCATATCCAAAATTCATAGGAACTCATGGGAAAAATCCTATACAAAAAGCCCAACAGCTCAGAGTGACAAACTCTTTCTCCAAAATCAATGCGTGAATGCCATACATCCAATCGACTACCGCACATGTGTGCAACTATATATGGGGTTGCTCAGGACACGCGGAAGGCACATGCTGAATGGATTTCAAAGGCCTGACCCAATCTTCACCCGCCCGGAAATTCCTCAGCTTCTGCCCTGGCTTCAGCCTCGCTGGAACGACTCTCAGCCTGGAACGACGACTGGAGGAAATGATCAAATGATGAGTGGATCATAAGCATCAATATCAGATAGATAGATATATATGTGTGTGTGTGCATTCAGAATTATTCAGATATATAGCATTATATAATGGTGATAACCTCACTTAAAATGGCAACTGAGGCCACATATCTCCCTTGCTCAATTGGTGTATTGTGGCCAATTTGGCCCATGGTAACAACAAGTAAATCACCAGCCGCTTCGAAACTTAGAGTGAACCACTAAAAAAATATTGGGGGTAATCTTGGTCTGGCCTTTATCAAATAATATTGGCTAACCATCTAAAACAACCAACATTTGTATTGGGATGTATTGGGTAATCCTGCCGAAAAAGATCTGGCTCCGTTGACACGATCAAACGCTGTGAACTGGGATGGTCTGCCACCTGCAAACCACTGCAAAAATCGTGTGAATTGATGGTCATTTTTATCACTTTCCTTTTCGAGAAATCAACTCTAGTTTGATCATGGAACTCCCAAAATTTCAGATTTGCACCCGATTTGTGCCTTGTCCTCCGACTCTTCTTTTTCCTGCCATGTGACATCGGCAATGGAATGCAACTTCTGAAGTTTGACGAACAGCGAAAATAAGGACAATCGGATCATGTCATGATTGTTCTGGAGTCACAAATCAACGTATTTGTTAACATGTTTATCCTTCTTGCCGGATCTTCATTTTTTGATGGTGAACAAATCCTCCAAGAGAATCCAGCAAGAAATCCCCATCCCCACTGCTTCCTTCTCCTCATCTGTGGATTCGTGGCCAGCGCTTTCCCTCAGCGTGGAAATGGATAAAATTGTTTGAGTTTGGCAGAAGCCCAAAATCATAACAAAGTTGGGACATGTTGGGAGTTTGGGACTACACTTTCCATCCTTTCGGTTTCAACATGTTTCAACGGTTTCATCATCCCAGAGAGGACACTGAAAATTGCCAGTCCAGCGGGTCACCGAAGCCACAAACTCTGGGGTCACCACTCGCTGGAGCCTTGGGGTCAGATGATTCGATGTTGGTTCAAGTTGCAATTTATGTGTGGTCAAATGAACCAAAAAATGGCCTAAAAAAACAGAATTTCAAAGGGAATGTCTGAAAATCATACCAGCAGATGCCAAGACTGTCAGACTGTCAGACTGTCAGACTGTCAGACTGGCCTACATCTTTGGTCGTCTTTTTCACTTCACCATTCTCCTTCTCAGACTCCTTCTCCTTCCAGGACTTGGCCAACACTGGAAGTGGACACCACTGAATCACTGAATCCATGGAACTATCATGGCACCCCTTCCAGGCACAGATGATCCCAGATGTTGGGATCACAGCTTATTCAGCTTATTCACCCATGATATCATAAGAATTCATAAGATATCGATAGCACCAGCAGAAGAATCTCGAGCCTTCGCCCAGCTTGAAATCTACATCCCAGCAGGTCCCAGCATCTCCAAAGTTTGAATCTACTTTCATGTGTCATTATGAAACTTATTGCAAACTGTTCAAAGATCTTGGATTCCATGGGATTCCATGGGATAAAAAAAAAACACGTTTGTAAAGCAAAAAGGTCCTATCCATTCCTATCCTCAGTTTCATCACTAAGATCCCAGACTGAGGCATCACTGGAGGACTTTGCCTAACACCAGCGTTTTTTGGGGATTCATTGGGGCATTAAACATCCATCACGGCTGCATGTTTGATACACCACGATTCATTGGGACGGAATGTTGGAATGCCAGTTTCCTCCCTAATTGAAGGCCAACACTGCACCAAAAGATAGATGAAGAAAAACGAAAAACACCCGTCATTTCTTTTGATCTTGAGGCACCTAGGATCTTTAGCATTCCACAATATTCCACATGTGGTTGAAAGCGTCACAATTGCCCCAAATGTTCAGTGGTCAAATTGCCACAAAGTGCAGCATGCGGAGTTCCACCTTTTTCTTCTTGGACGAATGGCCACTTGACCTGCAAAGCTGCATGACATGTTATGGGGTGATCCCCAAAACACCAAACAAATCCAAACTATGTAAAGGCTGTAAAGGGTATGATTTTCTGATCCTGCATGCATTGGAGGTCCTTGGGTCATCTTGGATCAGAGCACGTCCGGTTTGGATCATGGCGCATGGAATGACTATCCCGACATCTTCAAACTTGATCATTGGGCACTTTGGTCACCTTGGTCACCTTGGTCACCTTGGTCACCTTGGTCACCTTGACCTGGTGAGTCCTGTTTTGCTCCGATTGGAAGCACCAAACTCTAGTCAAACTGTATTGAGCACGTGGCCCCCATGGCTGGTTTCACTCAATGCATGAGATCAAGATATATGTACATAATATATATATATATGTATGTGTATATATATGTGTGTAATACATAATATATATGTATACTGTGTATATATTATTTCTTACATAGGATGCCCCAAGGCACCAAGGCACCAAGGCCCCAACTCGGATCTTTGCTCCGCTTCCGATGCAGAGCCTCAGTCGTCAAGTCATGGGTTTTCTCGTTTTCTCT